ATTGGCGATCTCTCTAAGAACCTAAATAAGTCGCCATGGTATTTTCCCAGTCTTGGCAGTGTGTCACTGTTGCGCCAGTGGGTTTTGAGGACATATCACCAGGGAAAAAAATCAGGAACCTCTATGGAGGTGGTTTCTTTGTATTCATGACTTATTCCAGCTCTATGCCTTCATGTATCCTTGGTGTGCACCTATGTTATTTACCTTCCTATATGATATATATTGAGCCCTTTCAATGGTGTAGTCACTTCAATTTGATTATTAGGAGGAAAAGGTGTACTGGTAGTGAAAAGTCTCTCTCTCTGTTAGGATTGCATAACACAACTTGAAGTCACATTCAAAGAATATATAATTCATTTTAAAAGCTCTTCGGCTGGGTTGCACCAGATGCCATGAGGGTGGTGAATACGGTCTTTGAACAGAATCACTGCTAGGGGAACAGTAAATGGTGGGACAATTTGGACTAATCTGAACTGTTATCCCTTGACTAATCTTGGGCCATAATTTTGATTTTGGATGGCTCTAAATTTTTATTCCTGCATTCTCAACTCCTCTGGGGGTATTTAACCTAAGAAAAGATTTGGTGAAGTGTTAGAATGGCTCAAATTTGTTTGGATGTTGCATGTCCAGGTTTTTGTTTATATTCCCACATAAATAATTACTTAGTATTTTGTTGTGGAATTTTCATGTTTTTGTTGTTTTTCTCTCTTGTTATGCCCAACAAATGTGCAAGAACATATTTAGCTATTCCCTACATAGAAGGTTGAAAAAATAATCACACAATGTTCCACTTCTGGGGCCTACATATCCATATCTCAACTTTGATCCATTCAAGCCAGCTGCCTTCTGTGTTACGGACTTGTGGGTTGCATCAGAGCTTTGCAAAATTGCATATACTGAAGTGCCCAGCAAGTTTTTTTTTATTACAAAAAGGCTGCCTGAATTACCATCTTTCAACTCAGAGAGGCTTTGTTCTTTGCCCAAGCTTCTCTTTCATGCCACTTATCACATGTCAAGTTTTGGCTTTAACAGCTTTTTTTGGCTTTGAAATGTTACAATTTATTAGCTAAGAAAATGTTGGATGTTCAATTTGACTATTGCTGTCATGGGAACACTATCTTAGAACACCAGGGGTTCCCTAAGCTGTCCTTGATAACCTGTCCAGCAACATGTTGAGGTTAACTTTTCAACCAGTTCATTTGTTGAAAATTTTCTCTTAAAATTTGTGTTCTTTCCCACCTGGATGATGGATCCACCCGGTTCTCCCAGGGTGATAAATTTGGTTGAGGTTCTGTAGTTTCATTCCCCCAGAGGCAGCACTGAGCCACAGAAATACAAAAATCAATCAGGTCAAAACCCTTCACATTGTCTCTATCTTTCCTTTCCTCCACAGAAACCTAGGAAGGTTGCGGTATCTGTGTAGTTCAACAATGGATACGTACAACTTTAGTAGCAAATACATAGCTTGGGATTGAATCTCAATGGCAGCCGCTTCCCTGCCTAATCCATTTAGCAAGTCGGCTGCTCTTCAACATGATTGTTTGTTTTTCCTCTCCATGGATGGCTCTTGTTGAACAGCCGCCAGGCTTAATCGCGAATATACAGCCCCTGAACAAGAAACCAGATTTTGCCTCTTGATTCTTGTTCAGGTGCTGTACATTCGCGATTAAGCCCGGCGGGCTTAAGGAGTGTTGTACTGTCCCATTCTTGGGATCTGGGACAAAATAAAAAGAATAAGGGTTTTCTGAGACCACCAGTACACGTTCAATGAGACAAGCCCGGCGGACTTAATATTTTCTACATCATACATGCTGCTTCACCTTCAACCAGACGATCACCTCGCGCGACACACTCATGCAAAGAGATTGGAAAAGTAGCATTCATACATTCACCATTTCTGAGTTGCAAAATTTAGAAGCTAGGCAGCCACTGCCACCAGTGCATTGGCGAGGATTTTTTCCACCTTAGGCACCAGCAGGAGTCCATTGGCAAAGCCAGAAGCAGTTCACAGCTTATGAATACTTATACCAGATTTCTTGATGAGCTGATGTGTGGGGTTGTTTTAGGCCAACTTCCCAGGGACCCAAAGGTTGATTTGATCATTTAAGTTGATGCAAGTTTTGTAAACCTGATTGCAAAGAGAGTTTAAGATTCTTAGGATGAATTCTGTGAATTCTTGGCTACTAATCTGATGTTTTTAATCTCTTTTTATAGCTTGGCAATCATTTTTGGCTCTGAGGGGGCAGTAGGAAACTGTTTGTAGTTACTAGGGTTTAGAGGTGGCACATTTAGAGGCAGGGACACAAAGCATAACTCTTTTATATTCTCCCTGTATCCATGTAATCAAGGGATGGATACATGGTGGATAGGAAGTTGATACAGAGAATTCACAGACAAATTATATTTGATACCTGAATTTTCCCCTCCCCAGAATTCAGACCTTACAATTAACTCTCAAGATCAGTGTGTAAATCAATTTTGCATTTTTATGTGGTTAATAAATTGTAACTTTGTTTCACATAAAATGTTGCTGAAGACTTAGACAGTCAGGTCACCCAGCTTTCATCATAAATCACATGGTATAACTTCCAGGTAATTCCACTCCCGATTCCAATAGCATGAACACCAATTTTACTATGGTATCAATCAAGATCCTGAACTCAGTTGAATTTGGAAGAACCACTTAAATAAGAGGCACAGTTTGATGAGTTTGATGTGTCATCCAGCATCATTAAGTCTTTGATGCAGGATAAGAAGTGACAAATTCATATGATATGTAATGAAGATTGCACCATGTGTGGTTTTCAGTTGCTAACTCATATTGATCATCATAAGTTTACCCTTGCAGAGGAAACACCTACAAAAATCAATCATGGAGGACCCAAAAATCCCTCAAATCAATTATGCATATGATCAACACATCAATTGTGCTGAGTGTACAAGTTTAATGATCAACCACAGGCATGTCTGTTTGATTTGAATGTAGAAATTGTGGCAATATTTATTCCAATCATATGTATCTCATGGGGTCAGACCATACAAAACTATTATTGCTGTAAAATACATGCACAGTTTTTTCTGTGAATGCAGTTTGGTAAGCCATCAGCTTTACTATACACTTTTGATGCAATTGCTTGAAAGATATTTTCAGGGGTATGCACCAATCTTAAATCTAGGATAATAAAGCCCCCCTTAAGCTTCTTGTTCAAATCCCCCCATCCTTCTCCAGAAGAACCACCAAATATCAACTCCATTTAATGGAACCAGATTACCTTGAAGAAAATGATTCTGCAGAGAGGACACATGTTACCAATTTTTACCATGCCCACCAAATTTAATAAGCACAGAGTGAAATCTCCAACTCCTGAATAAAATATATTGATTATTATTCATTTCCTGAGACCTCTGTAATTTTTAAAATTAGTAGAATGCAATTGGGTAGAAATAATTCATTCTTGTTTTGGGAAACTTTGAACTTTCATATTGAAAATTATAATTTTAGATGCCATCAGAATTCATGGCTGGGAAACCAAACATTGACAAAGATTACAAATGAGCAATTTCAATTATTGAGGCAATCAATACACAGGCTACAAGGATGATGAGCACAAGAACACTTGAATATAAGTTATTTTTTTGGATGATACTTTCAGGAAAAAATGGTTTTCCCCCCTAAGTTTATCTTCATAGATTGTCATGTTTTCCTTTTCAAGACATATTTTTGGGCTGTTTTACCTATATGGGACCAGCTTCAATTCATTCTGATCAGTAAAAATATAAAACTTTTCTGGTTAAGACTATTACATATTTATAATTAACTTGATATCAAAAAAATAATCAAAAGATTATAAATACATTTTTCTTCATCAATAAAGCTAAATTCAATCAGGAATTTTTCTCATTTTTGACTAAACCATATCTCCATATTTAATTGTAACTATTTCTGAAATTTAAAAGTTATTGGTAACATAATAATATGAAAATTACACATCATCAGGACTCTCCCAGATATGAGAATTTGAATTTTCAGATCCTCATCAAGATAATTATGAAATATATAAAACTGGATATGCACATATTCATAGGGTCCAGAGGGCTGAAAATGGAATGGCAAGCAGAGGGGAGATGGGGACAGGGGGTATGAATCTTCACAAATCAGGGGGGAGAAATTGTATTGTATTTTTCAATGGAAATAGATTAATTCACTCAGGATATAAATATAAATTTATTTCTATTCCCACTGTACTTCTTACTCAGCAGTGTTACAAATATCCTGAATCAAATAATACAAATTTTATCAAGATAGCAAATTAATTCAATGAATTTTGAGCTTTCTGGGATGTTTTGTCCTTGTATCCATTTATATGAATGAATCTTATCATCTGAATTTTGTCTTTCTTGAATTTACTAAGAATTTTTCTTATCATTTCCAAAATTATGAAATATATATTTGGAACTACTTCAATTGTGGTGGAATCATAGAAATTGTAAAAATATATAGATAAATGCTTCAAAAAGTGGGGATACAGATGAGATACAGGTTGGATATAGCCAGGTTAGGCAAGAGATAAGTGAAGGCACCTCTATAAAAGTTCCACATTTTTTTTCCTGGTGTATGTAATACCACCGCGGGATGGTAACCTGCAAACGGCTCTCCTGATCTTGTGGACGTCAGAGACACCAGAGAAGCAAAATTGAAGCGCAAAATTCACTGGGACGAACAAGGAGGTCTGCAGGAGAGTCTCCCGGCGAATCTAAGCTTCTGACCCAAAGAGCGGTTCGGGTGGGTGGAACCCAAAGCAATGCAAAGAATCGCAAGAAATAAACCAGATTAAATTTCTCCGTGTGGATTTTGTTAATGAGAAAGTGTCTATTTTTTTGTGATTGCTATACAAGTACAACTTTTGCAGAAGAAAATCCCGACTGGTCGTGAGTGTGCAGTACCAGAGTGAGAAAGAGATAAAATAGAACTGAGGAAATATGGTCCGTTTGAGTTGGCTTCAAAGCCCCGAGCAATCATCTTTCTTCGAGCAGTCGATGTGTTTCTTTTGTGAACTGAGTGAAAGAACTTGAGGTAGGGTAATCGGGACATCGGAGCAGCCATTCCTTCCCTCTGCGTCGCATTGACAATAACCGCTGGCTTTGTCGGATTGACCGGTGACGGAAAAACCTCCTTCTGAATTCAAGCTACCGATTAGCTTGCCAGACTGGCACAGAAACTGTAAAATAATAAATCGAATTGCTTGCATTCAGCTTTCGTTTCTTCTCTTATCTCGATTGGTGATCAATTGGCAAGTCAGACTCACTATGTTTGAACTGTCACAAGTTTTTTTACCTGGAGATTGGCAAACAGCAGGGCCCTGTGGGGTGGATATCGGGAACTTGGGAGCAACCGCACAATCAAGCCGACCGGTCGAGTGATCGCAGCTGCACTTTCCACTGGCGTTATGAGGAGTATCCGAGATGGCATAGTAGGCACCGCTGCTGGGCGCAATCTTCCCCACCGGTGCGGATCCACTACAGACGAGCTAAATTCAGAAGGAAGGGCAAGGATAAAAAGAATCAGCTACACTATCAAAGGACAAGACAGATCTGAATTCGGTTGCTTGTGTGCAAGCTTACTAATCCTTCAGTCGGCGTTGGTTTGGCGCTACTTTGTAGGGCTACTAAGAGTAAGGGGAAAAGCATGATCAAGCGCGATGCCGCTAGTTGAAGCATCTTGATGATATAAATCGCGAAAATAATAGGTATGAAGAAGGGTTTGCGATATGAGGGATTCCTTGGTTAGGGGATTCTTTGGTTGAGGGATTCTTTGGAAGGCTGCAGTAAGGAATGGTCTGCTCTGTCGGGACTGGCCGCGTCGACGGGCTTTATAAAGTCTCCAAAGCAGGTAGAGCGGCGACCCTTCCAACAAAGCAGTTCAGTTCAGATTTCATAGCACCCAGCTAGGGTCGCTCACCTCTGCGACTGCACAGTGCATTCTCTCATCCGTCCTCTCCTTGCTCATCTTACGTAAATGGCGGGTGTAGTATAAATGGAGATTAATAGCGTCGCATTAATTCTGCTTGCCTTGAATATACTACATAGACAGACTTTGCCACCTATCATCTATTCAGTTCGTACGACATGACTCATGTCCTTCCTTGAGTCAACAAGCGCCATCGGCCATTGTTGAACGAGTCATGAGTCAACACAGGAACTCCTGATGTCTGAATCCTGACCAACAGTGCGTCTTACAAGCGAGGGTATTGGGGCCTGTCGAAACTTGCAATACAAGGCTTGCCGCTTGGCACCATATATACAATTATAAATTGCACATGCTGGTATTTCCCCGGTCAAGTAAACTCAAGTAAGCTCAAGTGAGAATGACATATCGTTAAATAATATGGCTGGTACATATCCCCGGCGGCCGGCCCAGACGATGAAGGACGATATCCAAAAAAAGCCCATCTAGAAGCTAGAAATCTGAAAGCAATCGGTCCAAGCGGTGCTTCGCCGGTTCTATCTGATTCGCCATATTTATGTAAGCTCACGGCTTCTGTGGAGAAAGAACTCCTGGCGGTTATCTCCAACTGAACCTTTCTTCGCTTTCCAACTCAGATTTCACTGTTGTTCGATTTCAATTCCCTTACCGGGTCCGCATTTTTATTGTATTTGTCAAGATGCAAATATCTATGATCCGTCCACATTAGAGCCGTTCAAGATGGAACCTCTGCTCGTTTGGATAGGTCCATACCCTTGTCGTAATATGACAGGGTGCAGCAGTCGACCGACTAACACCTACTACATTCAAGGATTGAAACTTTACCTACGTTCCTAAATATGATGATGTCAAAGAAGTTTCTGGACCGTATCTTGAAACTACAGTAAGCCTTCAAATGTGTTGACAAACCGGTGAAACGCTTGGGAAATGGCTCAGGTGATAAGAGTCCGAACGAGAAAATTGGTATCCTGTCGTTCCTATGTAGCCTTCCCGCAATTCTGCCCCTGATGGGAGGCTGGCTATGATCGAAATCTTGACCGGAGAGACCAGCGGAGAAATGCTGTTTTCATCTTTCTCGCGCTGGATTCATAAGCTTCTTAGACATCTCTTTGCTGGCAAACACCGTGTCTTATTGTGCAAACTATGAGTCGCTGATGTAGGACATGGCTTCCAAAGTAAGGATAATCTGAAAGCAGGGGGATGGAGATTGAAACAGTACATGGAATAACAACATGGGAATGTGGTGCGCATAACAAAGAAAGAACACAAAAAAAAATCTAGGTGTTTGACAAGTCTTCACTGCCTGGAGTGATACATAGTTGAACAGCGATTCAGTGTCCTGGCCAGATAATAGCAGTATTATGATTTGGCTGAGTTTGAATAAAAACTTACCTTCACTAGGTCCTGGAAAGTCCCGAGAGTGTGCATCAAAGATCAGCGAGGTATACCCTTGAGCCTTCCTCATCTGGTCCATTTTTGTCACCAGATGCTGGGCGAGTTGCTTTTTGGGTGGATCCCAAGTGCTCGTGAAGCAGTAGGAAGTAGAGGGAGGGCTGAAGTCGAGTTGCAGAAGGGCCTTAGCATCTTCAAGGGTGAATCCGATGAAGCTGATTGGTGTATCTTGTTTGCTGAAGTAATGACGGGTTGATTTTAAGAGATCCATAGTGATGAATAATCGATCCCAGTCGCCCTCCTGGGGGAACCATTCGTGCAACAGCGCCTGTGTCCGGAGAGGGTCAAATGCGCTTGCTTCTTTGTAGCAGCTGTAGAGATCCACTTCGTACATCATCAGCCTGGCCAAACTGTCGAAAATCGGATGAGGAATTTCCAGAAATTTCTCCTTGAGTGCATCCTCGATGTGTAGTGCAAGCCCAGGGCGTAGGTTCCAGTGCTTCTGAAGCTTAATGTTTGTTGAAGGGAGGTCTTCGGTAGCTGGTGGTGGTTGAGTCATTGGTTCTTCCTGCTTTCAGATTGGCTAGAGAGAAGGAAATGGGGGTGTGATGGATGTTTCTTGAATGATGTTGTAGCCTTTATACCTGAATCTGCAACGTCAGTCGAGCTGCATAGTGCTCTCCACATTTCTTGGGCGGGGCGGCTCCATTATAGGGTTGCTATGATGAAGAAAAACCGGCTGGTTGGATGCAGCTGGAATGGTTGGCACGATTCTGGGTCTTGACCAACCCAGTCAAACCAGACAATGCGTTTGGTAGGAGTTTCTATACTTGCCGCCCAGTGAGCACTAGTGGAGGATCGGGGTTTTCCTTGCAAAGAGATTGTCGATATTCCGCTTGAAGGTTACCATCTTCTAATGGACGATCAACCGATTTAGTTTTGATAAAGCTGAAGGTGCACAACAATGACACGGCGGCCAACCCGGTCGAAACTAAGAAAACAGCCCGGAACGCGCTGCGGTATGCACCGATTAGCTGGGCCCTTTTGATCCGAGCCTCAGCATTCTGCTGCAGCTGGAATCTCCAGTAGGTCCAGCAGCCGAGCCGATGGCACTGACCCAAGCTGGCATCACAGCACCGAGGCAACTCCTCCACACATCCCGGCGCTTTCCCGGGCAACGGCGGCGTCGTCTGCAGACTCCGCAAAAGCAGATTCAGAAACCGCCGCATCTACGCGATGTTCAGCAGGCTTTCGTTTAATTCCTTCAGAGACAACCATTCTTGGATTCATAGATCGGTCATGGCTTGTCGGTCCCACACTCAATACGCCTCGGGCACGATTGATCACGCCAAGTTTAGTGCATGGTCTTTCATATAACTGATATTTTGAGCCGCTCTCTTCTCCAATGCCTTTGAATCTTATCGACTGCCAGAACAATCTTTTCAATTGTCAGTCGTGGGTTTGTCCCTGTTCTACGCGTCGCTGAGGCAGGAGCTGTCGTCACAAATGAATATCTGCCGAGCGTTGTGCTCTTCTTTCATTTCTCTAGAGGCACTTTTGCATTTTTTAATAAAAATATTATGGTAGGGATCAGATCTCAAAAACGACTGGATGGCAACTTTTGTCTCTTATTTGTTGATTTCATTACCAAGAAAAGAAATAATGTACACAGTTTCGATGAGGAAGGAACGAGTCCTGAAGCTGAATGTGGGGACATTGAAAGCCAAACTGGGGTTGATATATTAACCAAAAGCAAAATCCCCATGTGATCCGAACAAGCAGCCTCAATCGGCGATCAATTCGCTGACACTCCAGTCTTCATAGCTGCCGTCGGGGAGATAGCGCCGAACTATGAGGGGTATCTTGCGTTGACTGAGCTCCTTCATCGCGATCTCCAGCGGATCTGATTCGCCATCGAGAGGGACTAAGACTGGTGCATTCATACTAGAACGACGTATCGAGCAAATAATCAATCCGGAATCAGCTATCTTCATCCAAACCCAATTTAATCATGGGAAGAGTCGTGAAGAGGATTGGTCAAGAAGAGTATACCTGATCTGGAGGGCTCGGGTGCCTAGTATTCGAGCTCGTTCGTACTTGGTCATGTAAGGTGTTGTGGTTCGGATCTTATTGGGTTGTCCGGCCAACGTGCCTTCTCCACTATCAAGATTTCAAAGCAGAACGGAATAAAAAAAAAACCCAAGTGATCTATTTTTAAGCCCCACAAAAACGATGATTTGGTGTGAACTGGTAATGATGTATCATTCACGAACGGCATTCCACTGTGGACGACGCCCTGCGAATTGGCACCATTTTCAGCGCCTTCAGCTTGGCCGTTCACGTCTCCATTCCCATCTTCTTCTATCTCCCGGCCATCCTCACCGCCGTATTCTTCTTCTGATCCGACGAAATCTTGGACTTCCCCGAAATCACTATATATATTTCAACCGGACATTCGTTTATTTATCAACCGAACTTCGTACGTGTGTATGTGTGTTTTGTTTGCCAGAGAGAAGAGAGACTTGCCCGCCATTCCCGTAATCGTCTCCAGCGTCTGACATGTTTTCCTTCTTCTGGTTTTCGAATGCGGTTGCGTCTCTATTTTATTTACAGGATGATTGGAGTCGAATTGATTGGTACTTGTAGTGGGATTCGTTGATGGTCTTCTCTTCGGGATGACAGTGTCCCTCAAAATTTCAATCTGGAGACTCACTCACGGGCTGCGGACATGGCCCTGCTGCGCACAATGCTGGTCTCCACCCGTGGTACCCGACCTGCTATGTAGCCCCCCGGAGGCTCCGGCACCCTATGAATCAGTTCTCCCACTTCTTCCCTTTTTTCAAAAAAAAACTCAACAACAACCCACAACAGACAAACAACGACGATGGCATCGATCATACTATCGACCACCAGGAACCCGATCAGAAGCACCGGAAAACAACAACTGATACCACTCTTAAACCAACTCAGAGCAGTGACTATTGATGATGGACGACTGATCGGACTACCAACGACAACCACAGACTTCTCCTCGATCAGCCGAGTCTTCCAGTCGATCAAACAAAACCTCTGCCAATCTCTCGCCGCAATCTCTTCGTCGATCCTTCACCCTCATCAATCGTCATCGGCATCATCTTCATCATCATCTTCTGCTGCTGCTGCTGCTACGGCTACCACCATCGACCCTTACTTCTTTTACGACTTTGGTGGACTCTTGAAAGCCGTACCTAAGAAAAAAGTCTCGCATTCGAGGAAACGGATGCGTTCTGCCCATAAAGGAATCCAGCCTAACCTCAGTGAATTATTTCTTCTCTCTCTCTATCCCTTTTCCAATTCAACTTCTCCCTCCCAGAAAGGAAGATACTTACAGGTAATTTTGTTTTTGTTTTGTGGGGTGTGCGTGTGTGTGTGTAGGTTTGGGAGTTTGTCCGGCTTGTGGGGAACCCAAACGACAACACTTCTTGTGTCTCCATTGTTATGCAGATAAAGTCCTCGAACGTAGTAAGAGCATCAAGACGCCTTGGGAAAAAGGGATCACTCCTTGATCATCCCTTCTATATCACCATGATCTCAGCACACCCTCGGGTCACCTCATTTGCTTCTTCGCCCATTTTTTGTTCCCTTGTCTCAGTTGTTTCTTTTCTTCAAACAACAAGCATAGTATTTTAAATGAAGACTACATGAATCGAGATAGAAATCAGATCACGAAAAATAAACATTTATCTCTGATCAAAAAAGTCTATTTTCCCCCACATGACATTCAGATCACGAAAAATAAGATCACGCTTCCAAGATTACAAAAAGGAAACTGATATCATCACTTAGAAAAATTGATGAAGATGAAGAGCAATGGATATGTGAGGCGGATAGACAAAACAAGTCAAGTTCTCAGAAGTGTGTATGGATAGGAGTGTATGTTGAAAGAGTGAGGAAAAGACAAAGTTGATCGAGAGAGAAAGAAATCTATAGAGGGATATATATATATATATATAAATGATCAGAGTAGTCTCAATAACGGTCGTCCTCATCTCCCTCCTTACTGAAGCCCAATCGATCGAAGAGGATCTTCTCATCCTTCTTCACCCGTTCAGCCTTGGTCTGGATCTCCTGCTGTTGTAGTTCAGAGACGGTCTCGAGGCTATGGTACTCGAACCGCTTGATGATCTCGTCCTCCTTATCCAAGTCCTAGAGATTGACAATCAGGAAGATCATCAAGTCGGATTCGTGAGCAAAATGTGTTGGAAGTAGGTTGTGTGTGTGGGTGTGAAAGATTAACTCAACTATTTCGCCTAGTAGGACGACATTCTCACCCCTGACGAGATAGATACCTCTCCAGATATCCGTATATTTACATATCCCATCCTTCTTCTTTTTCTTCTTATTATTCTGTGTTTCACTCCCTTCAGCTATCTGCTGTTGGTCGTGTTGACTATTACTATCCTGCTGATCTTCCTTCGATTCGATTCCTACATGGATTCGTTCGATCGTATCCTGTAGTACTAGGTTGGCTATCGAAAAACCAAATCTTAGTGATTTTGATATTTTTTTGTATATATATGTGAGCTCAGTTGAGGGGAAGAGTACCAAATTGGTCATACGACCGTAATACGCCGATTAACTTTTTACCATCCCGTAACGAAACTAGAATTTTTTCTAAGTCAAACACATTAAATTAGTATCCGGATATTCCTCTTTTTTTTTGAGAATCTTGAGTAAATTAAAAAAAAAAAACTGACTAACTGTCGACTATGTCCACTAGGGCGCCCGATGTTGTGAATGGGACATTAGTCAGGAAGTTGTCCATCCTTCTTTTCCTTCTTGTTGAGTTTGAGTGTGGAAGGTTCAGGCTGATCAGTGTAGGCTGTGGCAGGGCAAGTGGTTGTTAGTTGGTGGGATTTCCCCCCGATCCCTATACCCCGTGGTGTTCGGGTAACAGACTCAAACAATCTGACCAGGCCAAGTTGGCTGTTGACCACTTCCACCATCAACACCACCAAAAACCCAAGACTGCTGTTGACCATCAAAGAACTCTCAAGACAAACAAAACAAAACAAAGAACGCAGGATGACTAGCAGCAGCCCAAACGAGGACAAGATTCCAACAAAACGAGAACTAATCCAACTCAAACCAGCCGCAACACCAATCAGACTCGAAGGAGACTCAAGCAGAGGACTAGAACCAGCCACCTACCATCCCATACATGGAATACTCCAACAGGCACCCACCATCTCACTCAAGAATCAGAAGGTACTCGAGGAGGACGAATACATGGAAGCACTCTCAAAGATCATCAAACGAGACTTCTTTCCTTCACTCGACCAATTCGAGAGACAGAAACAGCAATGGCTACTAGAACAACGCCGTCGGAAGAATATCAACAACAACAACAACAACTTGTTACACTCACCATCAGCATCCTCCGTTCGATCAGCATTCACTAACTCAAATCTAAACCATCTCAACTGGTCATCCGAAAATCAACCTCGACCCACCAAAGGATGGGAGGATGGTCAACCGACCCCAAAAATCACTCAATGTCAATCTCCTCCCTCTCATCAAATCAAAATAATTCATCTCATCCAACACATCCCAATCATACTGACACATCATCTTGGGCACTTGTTCGTTCAGCTTGCACACCAGGAAGAACCCCCCTTCGAGCCAACACACCATCTGTCGAGACACCCATCCCATCAACCCCAACCCCAACTCAGTTACTCGACCCAACAGGAGCAGGCCAACCAACAGCACCGAAACCATACGACGAATCACTCTCACTCGACGAGTTCTGTTCGCGCTACACATCCGAAGACAACTCCTCATTCTCCGAAATCCTCAACAATGCCAACCGACTCAAACGGATCAAGTACGCCTGGGCATTCGACTCCTCCACCAAACACAACTCCCGACTACTCGAGTCCACCCTCAAACGCGAACATCTGATCGGAATGATTGGCAAGATGGCCGAAGGTGGCCATGGGATTGGTCTGATTGAAGGGATCTCCGGCAAACCTGGGGAGAGGAAGATGGTCGAGAACGTGGTGACAACCGAAGAACGATTGGCAATCCAAGCCGGAGAAGAACCCAAGCTGATCACAAATGGTCAAAACAACCCCACACCTCAATCTACTACCGCCGGAAAGTCGGCGACGGCGATAGATCTAGTCACCGACCGACACTCTCAGCCGATCAAGAACCCAGACTCATGGCCACACGTGACCAGAAACGCACTGATGTTCTCACCCGACGCAAACACTAGCTCTCATCAGCCTGCCAAGCCACCCCCCTTCCCCGCCAAACCTGACCTGCTTCCTGGAGACCCTAAATCAATCAATCATGCTAGCACCAGGATGACCAACGATGATCTCTTGGAAGCTAATCTCAAGAAATCTAGAGCTACTACTAGTACTCGTCATAGTCACTCCTCCTTTAGTCCCACTCGTAGTCAGATCGCAGCCGCTATCAATGGAACCCCAAGTAAGTTAATCTATCCCTTTCTTTGGAGCTTGTGTGTTATCTTTGTTGATTCTTTTTCTCTTTGGGAGTAGATCGAGCCAGCGGTTCACCAAAAGTCAATGGGTTCTCATTTGTCCCGGAGTTACCAACGCCAGATCCGGACGAGATGAAGAGGAGTACGGAGCTCGATGAACTGATGACATGGGGCGAGATCATGACGACGCCGGTGCGATTGAATGGGGATCAGCAATCTGGGCTGGGGAATGAAGAAGATGGCCAGGATGATGATGAGGAGGAAGATGAGCGGATGGTCGAGGCGGGTCCGTTCCGGATCTGTAAGCGGCCTAGACGAGAAGAATTGGCGATCGGAATGGCCCGACAAGCTAGCAAATCTCTCCGTCAGAAGTACGGCCATTCCGCGGGCCTGGCCACCGGTCGGGCTCCGTCTCAACTTCGCCGAAGTCTCTTGGGCGGAGACCAAGCCTCCTCGCCCATCCATCATCACTCTCATTCTCCCGCCTCTTCTCTTTCACGTCGGTCTACTCATGCTAATCTTAACTCGCCTAGACGCGAAGAAATCCTCAGCCCGGCCGCTAAAATTCTGCTCAAAAAACCGGCTCCTTCATCCGCCTCTAATTCCTCGCCTTCTGCAGCTTC